GATGCCGAAGGAGGGTATACTCGTTTCTGATTTTACATTTTTAATGCGTTATTGTTTACATAACATATATATGTATGTAACATAATAACATAAAATAAAATAAAGTTAAATTGTTTTATCAGTTTTCAATGCGAAAAATAATTAGTTGGATTTTATCAAATTATATAATTTTTTACTCGTGGGGGAGGCCTATGCTCAGCAGTGAACTTTTGATTGGCGGTAATAATTCCAATAAAAGTCTATGTAACATGATATGCTGTGCTATGCCGATAGTTAAAGGTGTGCCCATTAACTACACTACGCTTGAAGTTATTTTTATTATTCTTTCAACTCGGGTCATTCGACAGATCTTTGTAGGGCAGTGTTCGAGACATGCAACACATTCTCGTTTTTTATCTTTTGTATTTTTTTCTGTGATAGATTGCAGTTATATTATGATTGTATCAGAAATAGATCAGTTCGGCCGGGGTAGGACCACGTTTTCACAGAATACCAGCGTAAAATGATTCCTTAATACTGCTGTGTTTCTTATGTTGAGTGTAGAGAACCAGAGACCCTTTTTACTGGAAACGAAGTATTTCATCTCAGTCCTCAGGGACGACAACGCATCTGCATTGTGATTTTTAATTATGAATAATCATAGATGTCTATGGGCCACAGCATCCACTTACCATCAGGCGGACTGTGTGTTTATTTGTCACCCTTTTTCTATAAAAAATCCCAACAAATGTGTGTTGTCACAGTTTCTATTTGGATTCCAACTGAGGATCCGCAACTTGGTAGTTAGGTATTTTAAGCACTTGGCCTTGTGGCACATACTATATCTGAACATTTATGTTCCCACAATCCTATCGGTTAACTTTTCCATACCCATGCCCGATACCCATTAGGTTAGGAACAGTACAGTGTACTTTTTATATGAAGTGTAGATAGATAAATTTTGATACTAAAATCTTTTGCTCATTTCGTATTTTTCGAAAATATTTGGAAGTCTCTTGAAGCGTGACCAAATTAAATTGGAAGGATATTATTTTAGCTTAAAGATGATAAATTTTGATGAACACAAACTCCTATGAAAAAAAAATATAGCGTAGATTAGTATTTAAATCACAGCTTTAAATATTTAACAGTTCATAGAAAGTTCAGTTTTCAAACATTTAGCTTCGAATCTTAATACCTACGATACTGTTTTCTTTTATAAATAACACGAACGCAAAGACGTATCGTCCTACTTGTCCTCATAGACGGTGTAGCTTACGCTCTTACTTCGGTTTCATCAGCATCAGTCAAAATTTTGATATAAAACAATTTTATTGAAATAAAATAAAGATATCATTTTTTATCTGAATTTTATTTATCAATCTAATATTATTTTAATTAAAGAAAAATTTCTTTATTTTCTTGCTGTTGTGTTAAATGCGAATTGAATTTTAAAATTATTCAAAATACAATCTTGTATCATCAAGACAAAATTTCTTTTCCTAAAGTGTTCCAAATTTTTGAATACTTCGACTGCTTGAATACCATTGGCGTTCTGTTTGTTACTATAATATTGAACGGTTTAAATGATTGCATATATTTGACGTTGTACGTGTTCCGATATATTTGAGCAATATTGTTACGAGCTTGAGGTTCGTGACAATAAAAATTGCCGATAAAATTACCTAAATTAACACTTTAATTTACTTTACACAATTAAAGTTAAAACACCAATAATTTAAACACACTAATTCACTTAATTCCACTCCGAAGCTTCGCTTGTTTCGCCCAAATCAACACTACCTCGATCGCACCTTGCAGCGCCTATAAATTTAATTTAGCAAAGAAATATCCAGAATGTTCAAGTAAACACGCGGAAGGTACCGAGCGTTCGAGTTTCGACTAGGCGCTGTCGGTTGAGTAATTTGTGATGTCATTTTCTCAATTGCTCCCCTCGCTCTCGTTCCTGACACTAGATGGCGCTAGTGTATCGTTGACTGGAGCGCGTAACACTGCCCCTCCTAAGACATGCTCGTCCCGAGCATTATCGGCCCCATAATAACGCGCCAAGCGATTCACATGGACGATCTTAGGAGTCCCTCTTGCGCCTTTCTGTAACGGCTCCGCAATGTCAAGGGCTGTCCTATCCCGTGGTGCACCAACATTGTACAATTTCGGTGCTCCTCTACTACGTGTCCGAGGTCCCCGCACGGCCGCACAACTTGTACATGTACGACACCAATCCTCGACATCGTCACGATAATGGACCCAGTAAAACTGTTCTCGGACCTTCAGTAGAGTTCGTTTAACTCCCAGATGGACTCTTGAACGACCATTATGGCACAACTGTAGAACATTCGACACTTTAGCTTTAGGGACAACCATTTGCAAACGACAGCTGTCTCTTCGACCATTGTCCCATTTACGGCACAGGACTCCATCCTGAATCAGCAAGCTGTCCCATTGGGCCCAATAGCTTTTCGTGGTTGAACTCATCGCTGAGACGTCCCTCCACTTAGGCTTGGTAGCACGGGCCTTCATCCATCCCAGAATCGGCTTGATGTCTGGATCTTCCTGCTGTGCATGTCGTAGGTTGTCCTTCCATTCGTTGCTGAGGTGGACCGTCCTGAGCATCCTCATGGATACCACCTCCTTACTCTCTTGCCTACTACAATGGTTGCAATCTTCAGGACAAGGTCTTCTTGACAATGCATCTGCGTTGCCGTGAGATTTCCCGCTGCAGTGTCTGATAGTAAAGTCGTATTCCTGCTGCTGCTGGGCGGTGCTGTTAGCCGCACTTCCTTTCTGAGACCGTTCACCTTCCCTTCCTAGGGTTTGCTTAGGGCAGCTGGACCGAAGATGGCCCCTTTCCCCACAGCCATAGCACCTAGGGCTGTATCTTTTATTGTGGTCGCGAACCGTAACTGCTGTAACCTCCCTAGCGTGAGGTGAACGATGATCCTGTCGCCGCCAGGCAGTGCCGTTAGCTGCACTACCCTCTCGAGATCGATCAACTCTCCTTTCCACGGTTCGTTTAGGGCAGCTGGATCGAAGATGGCCCTTTTCCCCACAGCCATAGCACCTAGGGCTGTATCCTTTGTTGCGGTCGCGAACTGTAGCTGCTGCAACCTCCCTGACGCGATGGGAACAATGATCCTGCCGCACGGCTTCTACCTCCAGTGCATGGGCCAAGGCGTCCTTAAGCGTCTCATGGTGCCCGAGCCTCACAGCAGCTCTGACTTCCAGGTCACGGATGCCGTCGATGAATGTCTGCACCAGGTTCCCTCCAATGAGCGCAGGTACAGACCGGTATGCCTTTCGCACCAGCTTCTCCACCTCTAGAGCCCACTGCTGCAGGTTTTCGTTGATGCGCTGCACGCGATCTTTAAGCTGCGCACGAAAGACGTGTTCCAGGTGAGCGTCGCCATACCTCGCCTCCAATGCCTCAATGAGTTGCTCATAAGTCACTTCCTCACCGAGAGCTTCCAGAACTGTTAAGGCCTGGTCGCGCAGGCCTAGTGTGAGAGCAGTCATGGCCTGACTTTCATTCCAGCCGTTCGCCTTCATAACAGCCTCGAACTGGATCTTGTAGGCTGACCAGGAAGAGGTACCGTCGAACGGCGGCACTTTGAATCCACGTAGCGAAGGTGTTGTAGCTACTACGGGAGCTGTTGTTCCATCTCCAAGTTTGAGGTCGTCCAGCGTTTTCTTCACGTCAGCCATTACGTTGTCAACCCGATTGTTTACTTGGTCGATTCGGGTTTCGGCCTCCGACAGGCGGTTGTCATGTTGAGCAACCTTATCCTTCACCTCCCGTATCTCTTTTCCGAAGATAGCGTGAAGGTCCTTCATGAGGAGCATCTGCTCTTCCTTATCGCGTTGGAGTTGCTCTTCTAAACGACGGGCCTGTTTCTCCTGCCCGCGGGCCTGTTCCTCCTGCCGGCGGGCCTGTTCCTCTTGTCCGCTTTGCAGCTGCTCTTTCAACTGACGGGCCTGCTCCTCCTGTCGGCGAGCCTGCTCCTCCTGTCGGCGAGCCTGCTCCTGCAGCATCACCATCAGAGCACCTAAGTCAGGTGCTGCAGATGTAGGAGCTACCGACGGGCCTGCAGCCGGTGGCTGGCCCTCCGTCGTCTGCGGCGTTGCACCACCAAATCTTCGTTGGTCCGTCTCCTGCTGGCGTTGACTTCGGGTACGGACACCCTCCGTTTCCTCCTTAGGTAAAATCGGCATGATTTTATCCCACTTCTGACACCAATTGTTACGAGCTTGAGGTTCGTGACAATAAAAATTGCCGATAAAATTACCTAAATTAACACTTTAATTTACTTTACACAATTAAAGTTAAAACACCAATAATTTAAACACACTAATTCACTTAATTCCACTCCGAAGCTTCGCTTGTTTCGCCCAAATCAACACTACCTCGATCGCACCTTGCAGCGCCTATAAATTTAATTTAGCAAAGAAATATCCAGAATGTTCAAGTAAACACGCGGAAGGTACCGAGCGTTCGAGTTTCGACTAGGCGCTGTCGGTTGAGTAATTTGTGATGTCATTTTCTCAATTGCTCCCCTCGCTCTCGTTCCTGACACTAGATGGCGCTAGTGTATCGTTGACTGGAGCGCGTAACAATATTAATGTTCTCAATAATTTGACCACTATGGATGGTTGAATGTTTATGATCACTTTGGATGTTTCAAAATATTTGACCACCTTGACTGCTCCTTTATATCTGATGCTGACTGTACCACTGGTTCGCAAAAAAACCTCTGTCCTGGGAAGAACCAGCAAGAAACCCAGTGGGACTATTTTTTTCCCAATAATAACTTACAATCATGTTTACCATTAACAACACAAGACAAATTAGAAATAGCTTGGTAGCGATCATTCATGAAATTAAAGTAAAAAAAGCTCTTCTGAGAAAACTTAGCAAAAAACGTAGCTGGATTTTTTTCTTAAGCAGATTCCACTCGTAATTATAGATCCAATTAGTATTAAATTACTATCATGAATTGACTTACCTGGCCAGACGGATTGCAGTGCATCGTGCAAGTGATCAAATAGTAACTGTAGATGTTCCACCTCTGCTCGTGTCAGCCTTATGAACTGCAGCAATTGATGCACTTGAGAGCTAAAATCTCCTTCGAAACGCAGCTTTGTTATGTCAAAAATGTAATCTGAAAAATATTTAATAGCAGTGTTAATTATACAGAAGTCTACATAGTATAGATATAGTGAAGGGATATGTATATGAGGTGAGGAGACATTATATATAGTCTTTTTTTTAAACAAAGTTTGTGGTGGCAGCCTAAAAGGATCCATCACATCTCAGGGTTTCTTAATTTTACCTTAAAAATAATTTATAACACTCAAAAAAATTTGATCCAATTTGGGAAATTTCACCAAAATCACCAATCATAGCGACAAATCATAAGACTGTGGCGCAGTGGCTTAGCACTGACTTGTAGCATTGAGGGTCACAGGTTCCAATTGTGCACGGAACAAGTATTCATATGGTCTACAAATAATTGTTTCGGGTCTGAATGTTTGTCCATTTATGTATGTATACATAGGATTTTCTTGGATTTTTTCTTGTATATATTGGATTTTCTCTTGCATCCTAGTGAGGGGGTAATATTTTTTAATCAACTCAAATATATAACAAACATCAAACCAAGCATAGAATTTCAATATGCACGTTGGCAAATTTAGTACATACCATACACTCTGTACAAGATTAAAAACAAAAAACTGAGGTTGCCAATCCACTTGCTAAGTGTGGCAACTATGGCAAATATCACCCCCATGACGCAATCTATAAGGTCTATGTTCAGCAATGGACTTTAATAGTGTAATAGTAACGGCCCTGCATAAAAAACAGGCTTTTCCTGGGTTTAAGGACTCCTTTAGTCAGCCTTAAAGGCTCCAATGGGATAAAATGGAGTAAACAAGAAACTCTATAGATAGCGGCATAACTATTTGTTTATGTCAGGCAATAGTAGTACCAGAATATCGTCAGGTATTACTATTGTCAATCTGCCTGGCAAATGTGGCTATCAAGGCAAATCTTCCCTAAAGTTACCTATTACCAGCAGTGAAGTTTTACAGACTAATTGAATAAAAATATAACTTATGCTTCAATAATTACCTTTGTTTGCCATTGTGCAGCTTTTTATTTACATAAGCATCGTAACAATCTTGAATAAGTCTGAAATATAAATATATCTTATAATTTTACATATTTGAACAATTTACAAAGGGAGCATCAAACTGTCTAGTGCCATGCTGCAGCTATATTAATAGTATAGTTGAAGCACAAATGGGTCGGCTCGACCGGGGAAGGACCACATTCTCACAGAGTACCAGTGTAATGCTGCTATGTTTCGTATGGTGATTGTATAGAACCAGAGACGCTTTTTACTGAAAACAAGGCATTCACTCTAGTCCTACGGCTGACAACACATCTGTACCACTTACTATCATGTGGACTGTCTGCTTGTTGTAAAATGATTAATAAATTGTCAACATCTTTGTAGGAAATGAAATGTGTCTTCATACCAATTACCAAATGTGTAGATCTTGAAACTGAAAACTCAGAACTCTTAAAAGTGAAGTAACATACATCCTACACCTTTTATATTTCTATTTTTGAAGGGTTTTAGGGCAGGGAAGAATATACCATGCTGTCCCAACATTCGGGCAGACTTTAGTACAGATTATCTATATTTTCTGCTTGGTGTTTGTAACATTGCAATAAATTTTTATATAGCTACTTTGGTACTAAAGATCACTATAAAAAGTATTTTTAAAGCAGTAATTAGTACCTGTTTTCTTTTATTTATAACAGCAATGAAAAAAGAGAAAAAAAAGAATCACATCTTAGTGTATATAAAATTATAATCATCATTAACATTCACAAGTCCTCTGCTACCCCAGAAGAATGTCACAAAGGACAATCCTGTTATTTTATATATTTAAAATCGTCTATGCAGAGATGTGACTTTTTTATATACAAGTATTCCAAATAAAAATGCATGACACAAAATATGTATTTTCATCTTGTATCTGAAATACTTTTCTAATTTTAATTTTGTATCTTGTATTTACTTTGTGAATAGGAAAGTTAATCAATCTATCCAACACATTAAACAGCAATAGAGAAGACATAAAACAAAGATAATAAATGAATTTTATTATCTTTGTTTATACAGGGTCCATGACCAACATGCGATAAAACAATTTCTTCTTTTTTTTCAACATTCCTTTATTGCAAGTAGCACCAACCCAGGGTTAATGGCAACACAGTTGACTCAGAAACACTTGAATAACTAAATAATGACATCAGCCTAAAGAGTTTAAATGTTATTCCTACAATAAAAACTTTAAATGTTGCCTGTTTGCCAAGTTCCATCTCTATGGAGCAGCCTTTGGAGAACAGTTTGAGGGGATGATAAGACCTCATTGACGAAAAATTTGCGATAAAATGTTTTTACTTAGGACTCAAAGACTAAGGTGACTCAGGACCGTAATTAGTGGCATTCTTTGGGGAGGCCTATGTTCAGCAGTTGACTTGTGAAGGGCTGTAATGATGATGATGATGATGATGATGAAGCGTTCACTGTTCATAATCAAATTAGCTAAATGAAACTTAAGATTAAATACAAATATGTTTTCATAAAGTATAAGGTATTAAAAAATGTACTTATTTGGAAAACATATTTTTTTAATCCAAATTTTTTGTATCTCGTATTTCTAATACCATTTCCAAAAGAATCTTGTATCTAATATTTCAAACACTGCTTAAAAGTATCTTGAAATGCCCCATAACACCCCAAAACACCACAAACACTTGCTCTTCTCAACTAAAACCTTTCTATCTCAAAAATATAATATAAAAATTAATAATACAAAATTCAAACCAATCTGCCCTATATATATATATATATATATATATATATATACTTGGTCTATGAACCAATCTATCCTAATGCACAACAAAATTTGATTTTCTTGATAATAATTATTAATAACTTCAACCACTTCAACCCCTTCTAAGGGTATTTAACACAGATTACTTTTTGTATACCTGAAAGTATATAAGTTCTGTGATTTCAACAAACAAAATAAAAATAAAATATATCCACAAAAATATATCGGTGATAGGGATGTTCGATGATCATCGATGTTCGATGACCACTTGTCAAACATCGAAACATCGATATCAATGAACCCATAATCGATTAATAAGAACTTGTGAACACAAGAACCCGCGAAATTAATATCAACTAAATCTTGCATCTCCTACGAACGTCAAAATCAGCAAATCATCTAAACCGTGTAGTGTACGTTAAACATCGATAGACTATCGATGGTATCGATAGTAAATGGCTATCGATACTATCGATAGTTTTTAAAACTATCGACCGATTGTTTACTCGGGTACTACTTTTACATCCCTAGAGTCGAGGTATGCATGTATGTAAGTTATTCCCCGGCTATAGTGACAAAGGTATAGACATTGAGATTGTTCTCTATGGTAGGGGAATTACCGTGCGTATATCATACATTCAAAGGCGTAGACATTGAGATTCTTCTCTATGGTTGGGGAATTACCGTGCGTATATCATTCATTTACAAGACAAAAGTCAGTCAGTCAGTTTTTTATTGTGGATGTTTGAAGTTGAGTGGAGTAACAAACGATTTAGAATTAAACAATAAAACATGAGTAGTAAGTCACGTGCGTGGGATTACTTCAAAAAGACTAATGAAAAGTTTGCCAAGTGTTCTTTGTGTAAAAGAGAGTTTAAACTAAGTGGAAATACTACGAACTTGATCGATCATATGAAGAGAAAACATAATGAGGTATGGATGTGGTCATCCACTGTTTCTGTTACTCAAGACGTAGATACCACTGAGCAAAATGAGAAAATGGGCCCAAGCCCTAAAAAAGAGAAATACGCTAAAAAATTATTTTGATAGAAGTAGTAAATATCCAGATGGGAAAACAAAGCAAAATTTGGATAACAAATACGTGCGCATGATTGCTGTTGACATGGAACCTTTGCGAAAAGGAGAACATGAAGGATTTCGGGATTTTGTAAATGCTCTCGATAGTAGATATGAAATTCCTGATACAACAATATTGAAAAAGAAATTACTGCCGGAATATTATGAAAACGTGAAACAGAAGCTCGTCATAGCATTATCGAAAGCAGAACATGTTAGTGTGACTACTGACTTATGGACATCAATTGCAAATGAAGGCATCCTTTCAGTTACTTGTCATTTCTTTCACAACGAAAAATTAATTGCACCATTATTGGAAGTTGTGAAGATGGAAGGAAGTCATAACGCAGAAAATATAGCCAGTGTAAGTATTTTTAAATTTTATTGCCTTGATACCTACCAATTCAGTGTTTCTTTATAATCAGACATAAACAATATTATTATTGTTTTCAGATGTTGGATGCTACTCTCTCAAAATGGGATATCAGGTCAAAATGTGAAGCAATAACGACTGATAAAGCTCAAACAATGATTAACGCCGCAGCCAAACTGCATATACGACATATACCCTGCTTTGCGCACACACTAAACCTGACGGTAAGTGATTCGTTTGCTGTGACCTGCTTAGACCAGATTCTGAAAAAATGTAAATCGATTGTGACTTTTTTCAAGATGAGTACTCTAGCTAGCGATAAATTACGGGCTATTCAACGTGAATTAAATAAACCAGAACTGAAAGTGATCCAGGAAGTACCCACCCGCTGGAACAGTGCATACCACATGCTGCAAAGAATTGTTACAATGAAGACAGAATTAACTCTCGCACTTAATGAATGTAATCGGGCTCCACCAGGAGTCAATGCTGACGAATACCTAATTATTCAAGAAACAATTCAAATTCTGGAACCTTTCGATCTAGCTACAACAAAAATTTCCGGAGAAAGCTATATAACATTGTCACTGATAATACCATTGATTCGTGGAATAAAAACGAAATTAGTAGAAGTTGAATCTCAAATTGTTACTGAAAGCGGAAACAAAATATTACTCTGCATGAAGGGATCAGTTGACAAAAGACTAAGTCCCTATGAAAGCAGGACACCTGTTGTACTTGCTACAATATTGGACCCCAGATTTAAGAAGAAGGGGTTCAAAACAAGTGACGACGAGAAGCGAGCTGGTCAGTGGCTGGAAAAGGCCTATGCTAGCCATTTAACTAAAGAACGCTTGGCTGTAGAAGAAACGCAACCAACACCATCCACGTCTTCAGGAACATCTAATGACCTGTTGGGATTTCTAGACGTTCCGGACGTATCGACCCCGTTGAGTAACTCATTGGTAGATGTCAGGCAATATCTCGAGAAGCCAGTAATTAACAGAAAAGAGTGTCCTATAACATACTGGAAATACACCAACAATAAATTGAAGGAATTAGCGATGCTCTATCTCTGTATTCCAGCATCTTCTGTGCCTTCAGAACGAATATTTTCGAAGGCCGGACAAATTTTAACCGAACGCAGAAATAGGTTAAAAGAAAAAAGATTAAATGAATTGTTGTTTATAAAACAAAATAGCTGTTATTTTAATGATTGATTTCTAACTATAATAATGATGAATACTGATTTTTGATTGTTTGATTGTTATTTCGAATATATATATATCAAAATAAAATTCTACGTTTCGTATAACATTTGTTATTTTATTGATGTTACGCTAATCCTACAAGTTTTTAAACTATCGATAGACTATCGATACTATCGATAGTTTTTAGTTAAACTATCGATACTATCGGATTACCAAACTATCGATGTTTAACGTACAGTAACAAACGCGTAGATTACCTACAAAAATATGATTATGGTGTGTCAAATTTAACTGTCATGTGTAAACAGTAATGTCACTGCTTTCGCTTTGTTATTCCGTAGTGTTGTTGTCAGTTGTCGCCTAATAACTATTCTACGTAAATTGATGCTCAAATTTTTTTCTCTTGTTGTCTATAGCCACATAATTTTGAAAGAATGTGTAAATATCTACACAATTCAATTATATTTAACTTTTTGAAGGTTATGAAAATAAATTACTGAGCGGCCTTGAGCATAGAAAATTTTTATTCATCTAATTTTAACCTATTAAATAGGTACATGTGCAAAAACAT